TTGAGTAGACTTCGTCGGCGGAGCAGCAGGGTGACAACAATACCACTAATTCGGATCGCACGCAGCGCGCCGAATTTAAAAACTGATTGTGTATCCAACATTTTCTCCCCGGGTTGAAAGACCCAGGCGTCTTTCAAGAATCAAGAGTCTTGAATATGGTCAATGAAAATCAGATCGTACACATAACATAATAATCGGAAAAATGCGTGGATAAGCCACGGACAAAAATTCAACTAACACAAAATAATAATAATAATTATACATATATACATAATTGTAAAGAACCTAGCACTCATCAACCTCAAAGGAATAAAATTGAAATAACTAGGGAAATATGGACAGGTAGGTGCTTAGAATTGGACTAGGATTCAATCGGTAGACGAACAAGCTTAACGACGGGCCGCTTGTAGACATCGTCCAGAGTACGCACAGACACGACGCGCACGACGTCATCAGACCCCGGATGAACTTCAGTGACGCGACCGAGACGCCAATCAGTTGGTGGTGGATTCGGAGCTTCAACGATTTGGGGACGACTTGGACCACTTCTGTCGACCTTGCAATGTGGACAAGTATTCGCGTGACCATCGTTTCCAATACGATTGATGGCACTGTCGGATGAGCTGCCATCGGTTCAAACGGTTGATTTGGACGTCGGTGGTGTCCGGTTCGGGTATGGCGTGGATCGGCTGTCCGATCAGGAAGTGTCCCGGCGTTAACGCACTTAAGTCGTGCGGGTCGGACGAACTCGGTGTGATTGGTCGGGAGTTAAGAATGCCCTCGATACGAGTAATCAAAGTGAGGAACTCCTCGTAAGTCAACACTTGTTGACCGATAACATGTTTAAGGTGATTTTTAACGCTTTTGATGCCGGCTTCCCAAATGCCGCCGAAATGTGGCGCGGCGAGCGGATTAAAGTGCCAGGTACATGTTAAGTGCGACGACAAAAGATCTTGGGCTTTGGCATCTCGAAACAAGGTTCTAAGCTGACGCGCGGCGCCGACGTAATTCGTGCCGCAATCCGAAAAAATGTTAGACGGAACACCACGTCGCGCAACGAACCGATCTAGGGCCGCGAGGAAAGCGTCGGTGCTGAGGTCGGTTACAATTTCGAGGTGGACGGCCTTAACGGACATACAAACAAATAGTGCCAGGTACACTTTAACCGATTGCGCATTTCGGTGGCGATGTTCTTTGACGAGGAACGGTCCTCCGTAGTCCATGCCGACGTGTGAAAATGGTCGATGAAGTTGCACGCGATAAGATGGTAGATCGGCCATAATCGGTTGAGGGCGGACAGCTTTATGACGGGTGCACGGAACACATGCGAAAATGACACGTCGAACTGCCGCTCGACCTGACAAGATCCAAAATTTTTGGTTTAACATCGAGAATATCAATTTTGATCCGCCGTGCAAAAATGACAAATGATAATGACGGATGATTAGCTCGGTGAGGTGCGAAGACCGCGGCAACAATATTGGATGTTTCGCGTTATGACTAATATCAGCGAAGCGCAGGCGGCCTCCGACCCGTATAATACCATTTTCGTCGACATAAGGGGCCAATTGCGCCAAAGACGGCGGCGAGATTACGGAATTGACTTTTAACATTTTTATTAAGTCCGCGAAATAATGTTGTTGCGTGCGTTGCACGACGATGGATAAGGCATTTTCTCGTTCGTCGAACGTAATCGGACCGACGCGAACAGGTTGTCGACGTAGACGATGACACAAATAGCGTGATATGTAGGACAAAACGCGCAACATTTTTAAGAACGACGAAAATCGATCAATAAATTCTAGCGACGATGAATGAACATTGACGGCCAACGTCGTGGTGATACTCGGGCGGGTCTCTGGCAACTGCTCTGGTGCACACGGAATAAATTTCGATTGGGGCCACTGGTCTTCAGGGCGTCGTAAGAAATCGGGACCGTTCCAGTAAATGGACGAAGACAACATGGATTTCGGTAAAAGGCCACGGGAGGCTGGATCTGCGGGATTGTCGTTTGTTGAAACGTAATTCCAAGTGCAGCCAGGTAACAGCTGATTTATTTTGGCGACTCGATTAGTGACAAAAATCTTAAATTGTTTCTGGTCCGCCGTCAACCATGATAGGACAACCGATGAATGGGACCACGCTCGCATACGGACAATAAGCACTTCGCTCGACAACACAGTAGACACGTGATGAAGCGTTTGAGCCAATAGCAGGGCGCCGCACAACTCCAGGCGGGGTATTGATAGTTGCTCGTTGGCGGTGGAACTTTTCAGAGGGGCAACCTTAGTTTTACACGTTATAAATTTTACTGAAATGTTGCCGGCGATGTCGATGAGACGAAGATAAATGGTCGCCGCATATCCCTTGACTGACGCGTCCGCGAAACCCAGTAACTGGACGTCCTGGTGACAAATAACATCGATGTGACGCGGTAGACTTAAATCAAAAAGGAGTGGCAATTCCGTGCAGAACTGTTGCCACATAGACTGCAAGTCGTCGGACAATGGATCGTCCCACCCGAGTTTATGGCACCATAATAATTGCATAAAATATTTTGCCCACAACAACATAGGGCCTAAGGCGTCAATAGGATCGAACAAGCGCGCAATGACAGACAACACTTGACGTTTTGTTGAAGACATTTGTTTAAGACTGGTATGATACGCAAACTTGTCAGTATTTGTGACCCAATACAGACCGAGGACCTTCACGGCATGTTCCTCTCGTGGATCGAATGACATAGAATCTACGCGGTCATCGGGGGGAACTGATTCGAGGACGGTGGTGCCGTTACTGGTCCATTTGCTCAACGTACAAGCACCGCTACGTAATAAACCGACAATATCTTCCTTCCGACGTAGTAAGAGCTCTTCGGTGTCAGCTCCGATGACGATGTCGTCGACGTAGGCGGCACGAGTAAGGACGTCTTTTGCGAGTGGAAAGCGATGACCGTCTTGTCGATCAAGCTCGTGAAGAACGCGTATAGCGAGATACGGCGCGCAATTAAGACCGTACGTGACAGTACACAGTTGAAATTCGACGAGGTCGTCGGTAGGCGAGTCGCGCCAAAATATATGTTGAAATACCCGGTCTTCTTGACGAATTAAAATTTGCCGATACATTTTAACGATGTCGGCGGACAAAATGTGCCTGTGCATACGGCAACGAAGTAGAATGTCACGTAAATCAACCTGAAGTTTGGGTCCGGTGCACAACACATCGTTTAATGAGCGACCGGAAGACGAGGCAGACGAAGCGTCGAACACGACGCGGATCTTGGACACGTCACCGTCAGCCTTGAGCACGGCGTGATGCGGAATAAAATATTTACCGGGTTCCGGAGCCGGTACCATGTGTCCTAGTGATTGATAGGTGGACATGAACTTGCGATACGCAGTGTACAACTCGGAGTCCTTAGTCAATCGTTTTTCTAAGTTGTAAAAACGTTTCAGCGCGATGGAGCGCGAGTCGCCGAGACCGTGACGCGGTGTGTATGGTTGTTGAGCTGTAATCGCGAACAAATGACGAAATGGTAATGCGACACAAAATCGACCGGTAGAATCACGCGAAGTAGATTTGGTAAAATATTCTTCACACCACTGATCTTCCGTGGTGGGCGACGCAGGTGCGGTGGGTTCTTCGACCACCCAAAATTGTTGTAATAGATCTCCGATTGACGGCGGAGCGATCGTGGTGGTCAGCGTGACTGAAGGTTGCTTGCTCGGAGTAGAAAACGAACCGAAAATTATCCATCCGAGTTGTGTGTCGAGGGCCGATGGTAAGCCCGAATGATGTTCCACACCGGCGTGAGAGCGGATAAGACTAGGTAGGATATCTGCGCCAAATAAAATGTCGATGCGCGACGGAATGTCGAAGTCCTCGTCCGCGAAACGGAGATGTCGATATTGTTGACGCACGGTTGTCGGCAACCGTGTGGATGGCATGGCGCCGGTAATCTGTTTTAAAATAACTAATTCAACAGACGGGAACAAATCAGATTTGAAACGTGACGAAAATTGACAACTGGTTACACCTTGCACCTGTGACACAGGATTTTGAGCGAAACCGACGATGTCAGACTTGTACCGACGTTTCGAAAGTCCAAGTCGCGCTGCACACTCGCTGGTCACGGCCGAAATCTGCGAGCCACTATCGAGCAGCACGCGTACGCATTGCACTCGGTCCCAAGCGTCTTTAACGTGAACAATCGCCGTACCTAATACGACGGTAGAATTGGTGCAGGCGGCACCCACACACGAACTAGAACCGCCACTCGACGTGGTTGATTGCGATATCGGGTTAGTATTCTGGGTAGTGTTGTCTACAATTGGGGCTCGGTCTTGTTCACGATGTAGCAAGGTGTGATGACGTTTACTTTTGCACGACGAACAGCCCTTCGTTGATTGACATGCATTGACCATGTGAGTCGGACTCATACACGCAAAACACAATTTGCGAGCTAATACGGCCTCTCGTCGTTTGTCTACAGTCATACCGACGAGCTTCGGACATTGATATATTCGGTGATCAGAATTATCACAACATAAACAGTTTCTAGATCTAACTTTGTTCGAAGTAGACGTAGTAGCGGCGAACACCGATTTTTTTGGTAAAGATGATTTTTGGGACTGCACCTTAGACTTTTCATGCGATTTTGTAGTAATATCAGGTTTACTAGAATTTTTTATGTTCTCTAATACTCTGCACCGTTGTTGTACAAAACTGAGTAACTCATCGAACGTCGGAATTGTAAAAAACGACGCATTGGATTCGAATAATTGAATCGTCGTCGGATCGAGAACTCGGGAACCCATGTGAAACAATAAAAAACTTGAAAAGTCGTTGACACCGAGCGCTTTAATTATGGCTACATTTTCTTTGAATGTTTTGATAAACGACGTCAAAGCTGGTAACGACTGATGTGTAATAGGTTTGAATGCAAATAGTTTGTCTAAGTGTGCCGACGCTAGCAGACGCTTATTATCGAACCGAGCGGACAGTGCTTCCCAAGCGAGGGCGTAATTGTTCGCAGACAACGGTATTGACTTGACAACGGCGAGAGCGTCACCCAATAAACACGACAGTAAATAGTGAAAACGTTTGGCATCACCAATGCCGGTGTTGTCGTGTACGAGGGATACATAAATATCGCGGAACGAGCGCCACTCCAACAAACTACCGTCGAAACTAGGCAGCTGAATTTTCGGTAACGGAACGAATTGTTGTGGCGCGGACGCGATGGACGACGATTTGATATCAGAAACTCTCGCGGGAACGACATTCGCAACGACTGTTTTAATTTCGAGACGCATACTTTCCATAGAAGCGATCATTGGACGATCATCACGGTCAAATTCAGCCACACGGTCAAGCTCGATTAACGCGTTAATTATAGCATCTTGTTGACGTTGAAATTGTTCGACATATTGATTTAAATCTTCGGCGTGAATAGTTAACGACGGCACTTGACCGGCATCAGCACGCGCGGCTAAGGCTGTGACGTGAATACTTTTGATGGAATTTAAAACGTTGTCGCGTTTGACCCGCGCTCGAGCTAGAGCATTCTCGGGAGTCTCTTCCTTTTTTGGTGGCATGACGACAAAATACGAACAAATGTATGACAATAGTCTGATAGATATGTAACGAAGTGATCACACGAAAATAATATCCAGATCGAACGGACCAAACAATGTGCGACGGCTGCACATCAAGCCGGATGACGCGTGTAGGCGTGTGCGTGCGCTGAGGGCTGCCTACAAGTGTCGGGTCGTGTGTCACTTACCTACTCGTCGCTGGCCTGTCGATAACCCTGTAGGAGCGGGAGAGTGGACTGTATAGGATCTGTTTCGGGAATAAGACAATTAAAGAGTGAAGGTGATGGCTGAAAGCTTATCAACAGTAACAATATTTGCAGTATGAAAGGTACGGGATAATTTATTACAAAATGCTGCAGAAAATGAGACTTAAAATTAATGTTAGTAAACACGCGATC